CGGCGCTCACAAGCTTGCAGAATGTTCCTCAGCTAGTTGACCTGACATACCGCAGCATTCCCATGCTGAATCAGTCGGTACTGGTGCGAATGTCGCGCATGAAATCCTGGTGTCACTAACCTTGCACAACAGCGTGAAACTATCTATTCACTCCCTGGTCGAGCGTGGAAAGTGGTTGGTCGAGCCGCATGTGGTGGCACACCCACATCACTTCCCAAAAAATAATTATTCCTATAGCAGGCATGTGCTTTACTTATATGTACTAGTCATACCTGAAAGATTAAAACTGAACTTATGTATGTAGTGGTAAGGGTGGCATGCTCCTGTTCACCACTAGTTTACCATAAACAAACAAAGTATTTCTATGGCGTTGTCCATGAAAGAAAACTTCATTTCATGTAATTTCAGGGAGCGCTCTATGTGATGAAGAAGTTCAGAAGAGTCCAACGTTATAGACCGCCAGAATTAACTTTCCAAGCCTTCACTGAAAACCCCAATAGGAATAGGTAAGCGAGGTACTACGGGATACTGACGCCAAGAATAGTTCCCACAGCAACGTGGTGGGTAAAATGGCAATGTGAGTACAACACTTACCTTCCCCAAAATTTGGTCTCTGCTACAAACGCCCATCTGCATCCTACCCACCATCTTCTAACACTCTCAATGTTCTACTACTTGTCCTAGTTTTCCAAAAATCCTCCCAGCCAGGGCACAACGTTGTTGTTCCCCCAACGGGAGGGGGATCGTATTTGGTCGCTGGGAGAGGGCGGGTCGTATTCAGGCTAAGAAAACTTTTTGATTTTTGATTTTTCTTGTTCCAGGGACGGAGTAAAAGGGAGGGAGGGGGTCGTATTCCACTTCTGGCTTGGAGCGAGAGGTTGCTGACTTTCGTGGTTTCTTCTGTTTCATATGTAGTATATAAGTAGTAGTGTTCATATGTAGTATGTTCGTTGGGAGGGGGAGGGGGTGGTCGTCTTTGCCTTTTGGCCTCTGGGAGAGATTGTTGACTTTTCGAAATTTTTCCTGTTTCATGTGTACTATATAGTCCC